GCAGTGAAAGCATTGTGCTACTCAAATATTTGCGTTCTTGATAAGTAATACTCCATAAAACAATTATGCCACACATTAAAAGCTATATTTTGCTCATTAATGGTTTATAAGGTCACAGTAATCTAGAAAAAGACATCAGCAGAACTTTTTATGCACTATCTAAAAAAAAAAATTAATATTAATTAATTTAGCAGTTTTTTCCAAAAGCGATATCAATGCACCATATATTTGTATGCTTGAGATCTAATGACTAACCAGCTGCGGTAACGCACATTGCTACTAAATTCCAATTGTTTTTAGATTTTTCTTTTTATTTTTATTTGCTTTGTTCATGTTTTCGTTCGTGTTAATTTCGTTCTTAAATATTTTTGTCACATACTGGAGTTACTCAAAATTTATAGCACACTTTTATCGCACTAAAACAAATATACAAACATACATATTTAGAATTAAAATTATTGTGGGCCTCTCATACGCACCCACAATTATTACTTCTACATAGCCAAAATTATTAATATTCAAAATAGAGTTAAAATAAAAATTTTTATTGTATTACACATCTGTTGTTTGCTGTCGGTGCGACATTTAACCTTTCAAATATGTTGGCTATGTTTAATTGAGGCAAATATTTGCTGACTTTTGTGTGATGTATGACATCAGATTTGTACATAAAAATTAATAAGCAAGAAACGAGAATTACCCTTCACAACACAAATAAAAAAGTTTCCATACAAGAACTTAATTTAGATCGTTCAGTCTGTATGGCAGCTATATATTATATCAGCCATATGTCATAGTGGTCCAATATCAGCGGTTCCGACAAATGAGCAGCTTCTTGGGGAGAAAAAGAAGGGTGCACAATTACGAACATCACAGAACGATATCTCAAAAACTGACGGAATAGTTGGCGTATATACAGACAGACGGCCATGGCTAAATCGACTCAGCTCATCATGCTGATCATGTCTATATATATATATATATATATATATATATATTATAGGTTGTCCGACGTCTCTCTGCGTATTACACACTTCGTGCCGGACTTCATATACCCTGTTCAGGGTATAAAAATCTTTTGAGTATAAGCAAACTTCTATTAATATTTTTTAATATAAAAGATTTCATGAAATAACTTTAGAAGAATAAAACCAAAAAACAAGTTCAGCTCTCGTGCATTCGGTATTCAGTGTGCCATAGTGTGACAGCGTAAAAATGTAGATTTTTGGGAATTAAAAAAAAAAAAGAAAAAACTGCTGTATCGATTCTTTTTTTCATTTTCAGGATATTTTTATACATGTTTCAAAAATACATAGTAAAATTTTAATTTAAATATTTCCTGAGTTATACGAGATCGCCGACAGCGCTTAAAAAAAGGTCCTTCACTGCAGAAGTGATTTCGGCCTTCTCCACGAATGAAACTTCAAAATAAAAAATTCTCGTTACACTAGCAGATATTCTCCTTACAATGATCTACGATAAAAAAAATTAAAATTGAGAAAAAGATGGCGGTATTTTAAAAAAAAGGTTGAATTTTACCGCGAATTTCGGTTGTTTTTGGCCGTGCAAAATTCGATTAAGTCTGGTGAGTCTATGTACAGTATGTACATGTAAAAAAAATTGTATGCTGATGGGATCATTTGTCTTCGAGTGATCACGCAAGCAAATTTGAAAAATGTTGTTTTGAGAAAAACGCGTTTAAAGATACTCTGATATAGCTGATTGAACTGCGCGGCTACGCTTTAAATGAGTATAACTCAAAAACTATTTGACATATCTATTTAAAATTTTATTATGTTATTTTTAAACATATAAACTAAAGGAAAATTCACAATATCTATACCACACTAGGTAATACCATAAGTAAGAGAGCGGCTGATTTTTTTTTAATGAACTGAAATTTTTCTAAGCGCACTTTAATATTACTTGGGCACATATATACATGTGCCTCTCAACACTCGCATCATTTTTATCTCGAGTCAGTTATAGGCGTATACTCTTAATTTATACAATTATAAATTAGATTATTTAGTATAGTGCGAAAAGGGGACTTCTATGCATATAAATTTACAATATCCACGCTCATTATGAATACGTTGTTTGCTTACTGCTGTATAGACAAGTATACTGTGACACCGAATTCTCAAGTGTGCGAACACTTCAGCGATTTGCTCGCACATTCAAGTATACGCCTTCACGCCCTTGTCGGAAAACTAATTAGTAGTCGTAGAAAATTGATTTAAAGCAGAGAAAATATAAAATTTTAAACTTAATAGAATTTTGGACGCACAACTTGTCATTATATAAATTTTGTATAAACTTTTACCGCAATATATATATGTGCATACATACACACATATGTATGTGACCATATTTTTACTAAGCTAATACGTTACTTGAATTCGAAATCATGCAAATTAATCGCTATGTGGTTATTAGGAGGCAGTGCGCATTCAAGCAATATGCGCTTCAAGTGTATAATTAATCTGGTTTATATTGAAATATTGCTAGCGACTGGTTTTCGAATTTGTTTTAAATCCAACAAAATTAACAGAACACTCTACTTACCACCCTCTCTTCCTAAGTAGCAGACAGTAGTACTAGAGAGAAAGTGCCAACTCGTATGTAAAACCTCATCATTTTTGCAACGTGTTAAATTAAGTGCCTTCAGGCGACAAAATTAACTTACACCTCAATTTTCTATATAATTTATAATTATGTATAGTTCTTGTGTGTGTTGAGGAAATAAATTGTGAAATTTGTTTGGTCCAGTGTGCAAAACTAGTGTAATTTAAAAACACGTGTTCGGCAACTCGCTGTGAAATTGCGTTAATTTAAGTTTTTTTGTGTTTATTTAAATACATTTTAGAAAAATCATTACATTTATACCAAATACTTAGTATAAAGCGTGATCACATTATTTTTTAAATAAAAGCATACATAAAACCACTTGGTTTAATTTCGCTACATACATACAGTGCTGGAAAAAGTAATGGAAACTAGCTGATTGCATTCGCTGTCTTCAAATATTTCGCAATGAACTAAGATAATATTTATTTAATTTTTTTTATTTACATAGATATGAGTATGTATACTTCATTATAAGGTACAAAAGTATTTTTTTTTATTATCGAAAAAAAAAAATATTAAAAAATATTTAACTTTTGCGCTTGGAAAAAATAATAGCAACAAAACGTTTCATACTAAGTAATATTTTTTTAAATATCTCAATAAAATACATGTTTAAATAATATTTAGTGGTGCAGTCTTAATTTTTTAAATCTGCAGAGCAGCGACGAGCCATCGATTTAACCCGATTGGCATAAATTTAGTGATCAATAGCATATCACTTGAATTTTACTTTTTCTCAAAATTCTTCCTTATTTTTTGGTTTAAAGTAACCAATTTTTTTTTAATATCCGCCGCAGTGTTCTATCGGATTAGAGTCAGCGAATTGGCTAGGCCCCTCCATTACATTAATTTTTTAGTTCTGGAATCATTCCTTAATTAGTTTTGAGGATGGTTTGGGCCATTAACCTGCATGAACTCCCACTTTAAGATCATTTCTTCCTCGGCATATGATAGCATCACCTTCTCCAGAATAATAACGTTGTCTGGAGCACACTTTTCTTTTATCTAGAATATCGGACCAACTCCTGCGGCGGAAAAGCATCCCCATAGCATAATATTGCCTCTTCCATGTTTGACAGTTTTTATGGTGTGTTTAGGTTCGAATGCAGTATATTTTGCACGTCTTACATATATTTTCCATCAAATTCGAACAAATTATTTTTTAACATAGCACGTCATTCCAATTTTGAGGGGTTATGTGTCAGACTTTGCGACAGTCTTTTTACGATATTTTTTTTTGCTTCAAAGTGGAACTTTTCTAGCTGATAGTGCCTTTAAATCCTTTTCAATTAGTCTATTCCGTATGCTGCCTGCAAGGTATGCTTGAGGTCTTTTGTTGGAAAAAAAAAGATTTTTTTTGATGTACGAATTAAAAGGTCAACGAACTTTTGGCATTGTTGCTTGTTTCTAAGTATTTTTTCCAGCTTAAACACGTGGTCACATATAAGCAATATCGACTAAAAAATGAGAACACAATAAAGTATCGTTGTCAGTGTTTCATAATTAACAATTTGGTTTTAAGTATAGGTTTAGATGTTGTTTCTATTATTTTTTCCAACTGTGTATGTACTATTTACACAAAAACTATAATTCCGTTTATATTATAAATATGCACATACATATATACAACCAAAAATGTTTGTGCTCCATTTTGCCACCCCACCTCACCTCAACGTCGTTAGTTTAGCATATACAAGTTATTTTTAACACAACTGTTACGTTTCATAGACTTTTTTTGTTGAAAATGAATATGCTTATGATTTTTTCTACCGCAACAATTTGTTTGTGCAAATTACTCAGGCGCATCTACATCATTTACATCTGCATACACATTTACGATTTGTTATTCATAAAGGCGATCATTTCTGCATTCAACTTGGTGCTGAAATCAAATAAATTTGACAAAAAATTATTTCTCCTATATAATCATTAATTATCTAGTAAAATACAATAAAAATATTTGCTAAATTACTTGGTTAATATGAAAATACCATAATAAACAAGCAGTGTTTAATAAAAGTATAAATATTTAAGTGCACATACATACATACACACAAAGCATTATTCTGACTTTGAAAATATATTATAATAATTTTGTACATACCATCACTTGCATACATTTAAAAACGATTTGTTTACAACACGCTCAGCAAACAATACCTACATTCATACATACGTATGTACCTATTTGCATATGTTTACAATTTGTTTTATAATATATAAACTAATTTAATTAACTCTTCATTAATATTTTTTATTTATTTATAAACCGAGTAAGTGTAGCGTGTGTACTTTTGCTTTTGTTGTTTCTTACTCCTATTTTCTTTTTCACTAGAAGTTTTCTGTTCGTTCATTTTCATTTATTTTTATTTTTTTTATAATTATTTACTCCAATTTCAACCTTCTACAAAACGTATAATTAGCCCAACAAATTAAATTGAATTGAATTGAATTGAATTACAAGTATGTATGTACTGAAATCTGTGTTAAATGCGAATCGTTCATGCAAACATTTGTTGTGGATTATGAAACGATACGAAACAAAACAAAACGAAACGAAATGATGTACTAAATGGGAATTTTCAAATGGTGAAACACGCAATATTTTTGCCTTTATATCACATGGCATGCAATGTAACAACAACAATAACAATAACAACAACAACAACAACAACATCTAATACAACAACAATTTATGCAAATATTCACATACATACATGCCAAATATGTGCGTGTGTGTATGCGAAATGTCAACACAGATTTGGCAGATTTTGACTATGAGACAGCGATTTATTATGGCGATTCAAATGTGAATATTGGCGAGCCATTCTCAATCACATGCATAGTCCCCTTGGCCGAACCCATATTTTGGCTAAAAGATGGCGAGCCAATAACGCGACACAATCTACGGCACGGACGCGATGAGCACTCCTACACGCTGTCGGAGAGTGCCATTGAGGGTGAGTATAACCAAGCTGTGGGTGTTTTAGCAATCAGCAGGCATAATTTTCGTATACAAATTACTAGTCAAATTAGATGTTGTAGACCGCGAAGCGCCATGCGAGAAAAAAAATCGAAATAATTTCGGTTTGCTTTTTGCACTAACGTTATTCGGTCGATAGAGATTATTATTATTTTTTTTTTTTTTGTTTTTGCATAGATCTAGCAAAGTAGTTAGTGACATAAAGTTAATAAAGTGTTCTGCGCAGTGTTTACACGATATGTCTGTACTATAGTGTGTGGTTTCAATGTCCAAAGGGTGAATCAAAAACTAGCAAATACTCCCAGCGTAGCGACAATTCCCTGGAAATGGCAAACATTGCCTTACGTTCGCTTTTTATATGCAGTTCTATGTGATGGAAATAAATTATTTATTGTATTTTTTACATTTTGCAATATTTTTATACAAGAACATTATAAAATTTAAACAGCCTAAGGATGAAAGCATAACTTTAATAATTGCTGATCAGCAACTCTGCGTTGATCTTAAACTATATTTTGCGTGTTAAAATAATACTAATGCATATAAATTAATAAAAAAAAAGCATACAACTTACTTTTAAGTTTTAATCATGACCATAGTATTCGGTTGGAAAAAATTTGTGTTGTCGTATAAGATTTTTAATGTAATTTTATAGAAACTTTCAATGCAAAATATATAAATAATGAGTTTCGTAAACTGTTTCATACAAATTTTCACAACTCTCCGTGTACCTTTATTTTCGGATTCGTATCGTTCATTAATTCGCTCAAAAATTTCTTACTATGGATCATTGAAAAATATATGCACCGCCATTTTTAAAAGAACTTATTATACATAAACCTCGATTTTGATTCTTTCCGAACAGTTACTTTTTGATTCACCTGGCACACATTTCCATTTATTTTCTTAGCTTAAACTATTGAAAATATACCAGCGTAGTTTCTAATTGGGTTTTGACATGTTAATAAATAAATTTTCGTTTTATTTGACCCAACAATCCACACCCCCCTCCCCCCTACTACTTTTGAATTTAGTTGTATTCTGTTCTGATAGTTAGGTATAGTTTTAGAACCAATTTGTGTCTTTGAGTTAGCGGCAAAAACAAAATAAAAAATTTTAGAAAGCTAATATCAACAGCAAATTTAAATCTTTATCTAAAACTCCAACTTTTCACTCTCAAGGTGAGAAACACAAAATCGAAGCGCATCTTTCCGTGCGTCACGCGCTTAAAGTACACGAGGGTCAGTATAAGTGCAACAATTTGCACACAAGCTACCATATGTTGCACGTACGCAGCGCCAATGAGGCGCCAACACACCCACAAACGTATACACCATTTGTGGTGACAGCGGGTGGCGTCGGCGGCGGTGACGGTGACGGTGGCCATCTTTCAACGCTCTCGGCCTACGAAACGATACACGATCTGACACCCAGTTCGGCGGATGATATTTTCACACGCATATGGGAGCCGCACATGGAGGTGGACGTTTCGCCGGCTATGCCACTGCCAACACAAACTACCACAACAACAACACACCGGCGACAACATCATCACCATCATCAACAGCAACAGCAACAGCAGCAGCAGCAAAGGCCACAACTTAAAACAACGAAATTGGATGAACAACACAAATTGATTTATATAAACGCCACAAACTTCGATGGTAATCCATCCTTAACGCTGCCGGATAGCAGCAGCGAAGGTGCCAGCATTGGCAGTGAACTGGATACAGGCCTTATCAATCTGGAGTATATAACGCCGCTAAAAAAGTATGGCGAACTAACGACAGCGCCTAGTCGCGGTTACGGTAGTGGTGGCAGTGTCGGTGGTGGTGCTAACGCCAAATATCCACCGATGCCGAACTTCCCACCACCACGCACAACAATGCTGTCCACAACAGTGGCGCCAGTCGCGCAATTTTTCACACCTCCACATCATCATTTGGAGCATCACGGTCACGGGATCACTGCCAGCGGTAGCAATAGCAATAACATGTATAACAATCCTTTGACAACACACGGCTATCAATTGGTTGAAACACAATCCACATTTCCGCTGCAAACAGCTTCGCCAAATTATCAGCAACCGACACAAATGTTTACGCCGCAACAAATTGGCAGTGGTGTGCAAACGATGACGCCAATGGATGTTTACCAGCAGCAGCAGCAGCGCAATCAAATGCAAACCTATCCACCGCATCAGTTTATAAATCAGCAGCAACAACAACAACGACACCCTATATCCAGTGTGACCGCGGTTACGGCGGGCGGCAGCATGTCGCTCCCCACACCTTTGTCACCACAACCCACTCGCATGGCACAAGTGCCAATCCGCAAGGGTGAGCCTTAACCATTTAGCTTTTATCGCTAAAGAACAAAAATTAAAATTACAAAAAAAAAAAAAAAATCAAAACATAAGTATATAAAAACAAATTTTAATAAAACTCAGTTAAACCAACGCATCAACGCATTTCAGTCTCAGTCTTCACTTGCTTTCACAAACGTCATCACAATCCCCACCACCACCACCACTACCAAACAGTGCCATCTCTTCGCCCATCGTTCAGTGCCCATGGATACGAATTTGAAATTGGTTTTCATCTTTATCACTTACGTTTTATTTTGTCAACTTTTATATTTGAATTACGAGATTTTTGATGTGGTTGTTTTTGTATTGTATATGGTTTATAAGCCGTTAATTTTTATTTTTTCTTCGCTATATTGCTTGCGCCTCTATTTTTATTTAATTATAACGCAAACTTACTCTTTCTGATTATCACTCTAATGTTATGAACACTTAGCAATGTTTAAATATTTCGGTAAACAACATTACGATCATATATCGCAGTTTATTATTACTTTTCAAAATAGCATATAAAAGCTTTGTAATTGTTTGAATAAACATTTGCTTTGCTTAAAACAAACAATTGAATAAAAAGTGAAAAAAAAAATTTTTTTTTTTAACAATTTTATTGTGAAAAAAAACTATATACGAAGCGATCTCCATTCTAGGTTTCCTGTTATATATTATATAATAATATATACATACATAAGAACCGATAATTATATTGCATATTAGAATCTAGAAGCCTTAGCCGAAAGTATTTGGAAATATTATAGGTTAAGCGTGAAATATTCATGTCCGCTTCAATTTCTTAAAAATAGTCAACACTCATTTAATAAATGAACTCAACTTAACCAATACAAGATTCAACACGTTGTAAATACATACTATATGTATGTATGTAAATGCATAATTTTTATGCGCTTCGAGCTACTAAATGTCAAAGCAGCTTTTTTGTTCTGCAATCAAAACAAAACAAAAATCCAATTATAACAATTATAAAAATTCGAACAATTTAATGTAAAATGATAGAATATTTGTTGTATATTCTGCAACAAATCAACAACGCGTAGAGATAAATTTTTCTTCAACAAAGTCGTAACAGCCCCAAATATAATTTGTCTAGAGTTCAATAGCAAAATGTTGAAGGCACTAACTTGTTACACAAAATAGTATTTCCATTAAACAAACTGCGAACATTTACGGTTCCCCGCATCCTTAGTTTATATTATAAGATTGTGTCATGGACCAAATATAACTACTCAAAATAGTATCACATTTCATTTTGAAGTTAGCACTCATTTACTGTTAAAACAAAAACTAACCGAAATATGCTTCACAACTAATAGGCAAAGTTTCATCATCACTCGGTGGTATTTACAGAATTACTCGCTAGTGCCATCAATTGAATGATTAATCGCATAATAATGCTCGGCTTTGATTAGCCAAAACTAAACAAAATGAAAGTTTATACCCTAATTTAATCGCTGACGCCACACAGTAAAGAAAGACCGTGCAAAAACAAAAACAAAAATATTTTTATAAATGAAAATAAAAAGCATTTCCAAAGTTATATGATTTCAGTCCAAGTTTGAAACGATAAAAGAGTCTTTAAAATTCTGTCGTCATGCCGTTATATACATACATACATACAACTGTATACATACTTACACGCATACTTTGTACATAATGCTACATACATATATATAGACACATATTTATTAGCACCAATTTTTTCACAACTTATTCAATAAACTCGAAAGTGATATCATCACCATAACCACTATGACATAATGTCTACATACAACAACAGCAATTGCAAGCAGAATGCTTACTCATATTACATATGTACGTATGTAGTGCGTTAGTACCAAAAATGTCAATATTCATATATACATACATACACACAAATTTAAATATATGCATATACATATGGTATATATATACTTGTATATATAGTATAAAATACAGCACATATTCATAGACCAAGTTAATCTGCATCAATGGCCAAGTGTTAAATTCGGTATTAACGCCAAAAAGTGCTTACATTTTTCCCGTTCACTATGTACATATGTGCTTTCTTCTTTTTATTTAGTAAAAATTAAATGACTTGTATAGTAGTTGGCGCTACACGCTTACAAAACACACACTTCTTTATTGGTACACATTTATTCATGTATTAAAGCAATATTTTCATATCAACTTCTTGCATACACCATCTAAAATATCATACCCTTCTCGTTATATGTATATATGTAAATGTAGCGTTATTTCGCTTATATTATTATATGTTTTTCCAATACTATGATGTGTAAGATAAAATATTTTGTGCCAATACGTTAAACTAATCTTAATATTTGCTAGTGCGATTTTATTTTATCTTTTATCCATTTACTTATACTTGTGTACTTATGGTAATTATTTTCTTTTCTAAGCAAACTATGTATAAAGTTAATTTTAATTTATTACTATTTTTTTATATTTTTATTTTATTTATAAATCATAACATTTGCTAAGTGAAAATAAAAATTTAAGCACAACATTAAATTCATTTACCATCAATGAGTTTATGATATATTTATGGATATTTAATGGAAACCCATAATTTATAATTTTTTGTATATATGTATCTACATGCATACATACGTATGTAGTTGAAAATATCAATATTTTCATATTCGAACAATTCTTTTACAGATACTGAATTTTTGGTGCCAAACTACGATATTGCAGAACGTCAGTTAAAAGTATATGAAATCAGATCACCTCTAGTACTTAGCTGTAACATAACCAAAGCTGGTGATTATGTGCTGAAATGGTAAGTCGAAAGCTTCAATATTTTCTTAAACAGTATGGTATAACAAGTTCACAAATAACATAGTTCTGCAAAAGCTAAAATGAACAACCTAAAAAAAACAAATTGTTTTTACATAAGCTTAAATATTATATAAAAATTTGTCAACACTCTTGGCAACTCATTAAAAGTTTGTTAACGCTCTTGCCAACTAATTTTCATGGTCGCACTGGCAATCCATGATATCAAATTTGACACGTACTAGCTCATTTAAAACCGAATCGATGAATATTTTTTTTCCTACACTGGTTCAACATTTTTTTTTAAGTTCATGTGAAGTTTGATCTCCATATGTCAATTAGTGAACAGTTTGTCTGACGATCTTGAGTGCATTGAGTGATCTATTTTATTTTATTTTATTTTTCACCATTAACCATGCGAAAAGTCGATACAAGTTACTATATTTATGTTCAAAATTGCTATTCTAAAGCAAATGGCAAGTTCCAACATGTATGCCGCGAAGCGTATATCCACAGAAGAGTTAAAAAACAATTCTATGCCATTCACAGTGGAGCCATTAACACCTACACCGACTCCCTCTCAGTGAATGGCGCACATGGAGTCAAACCATCAGCCATTGCAGCCGAAGAGCTCAAGTTGCCACGAGAGTCTAGTGTGACGCTTGCAAATTTCATGCTGGATACAGTAGCAGATTAAACTTCTACTTATTCAGAATCGACCCCGACAATAACAAATATTTATACATACTATGTCCAGCGTGCATTAAATGTCTAGCGAACGCAACTCATCTAACACCACTCACAATTTAACTGTCTCAAGAGTGCAGCTAGGTTGTGGCTATAAAGTTCCGAACAATTTGACATCACTTTTAATCTGAAATATAAGTTTAAAATTTCTTGATAAAGCTGGAAGCTAATACCAGAAAACGTGAGATTTAACTATTTTTGAAAAGTGCAACTTCATAATCGACAAAATTATGTAGTGGTGGTTTCTTAAAAAACGCACAAAACTAATTTTAAAACTCAACATCTGCCTGACCTGAATGTGGTTCCACTTTCTAAAGCAATTATACTTTTTTAACTGTAGTAAGATTGAATGCAATTCAAAACAAAAGAAAAACAATTATTTTTCTCTATATTTATTCGAGTTTTATCAGAAAAATATGTATAGTTTTTTTTTAACATTATCATAATTTTCTCAAAATATACATAGATATAGAAACACCGTAGACAATCTTACATAGAGAGACGAGACACATCAAAATACATAATTTCAAATCATTCATTAGTAATTGGGCGTTTGTTGTTGTTGTTGTTGTTTTTTGGCCCTTTTTGTACAAAAAATGGCTTAACGACGACGTCGACGTCGGGAGCCACGTCGACTACGACTGCGACTACGACTTGCACGTCTTCTGCGCCGCCTACCGCCACGATCTTCCATTTCGCCAGTATCCTTGTTATCATCCTTATTGGTCTCCACTTCCGGTTCACTAATCTCCTCTCCAGCAATAGTGTCCAAGTCAACAGGTGCCGCATAATATTTACGATTGGAGCGTTGTATATAGCCGTAGCGTACGCCTCCATTTAATGTCTCTTGCACCGATTCTTTCACATCATTGGGGTGAACCTGCATTGGTGACGAGAGGCAAACATATTTAATCACATTAGAGAAAAAAAAAAACAAAAAACAAAAAACAGTTGCGAGTCTACTTACGCCGGCTGTGTCGGCGATATGTGTCACTATTCTCATGACCGTTGCGGGCTCTTCCAGCGTTTGCAAAGCCTGCAAAATTAATTGCCCATTTTGATTGGCCATTTTCTGTGGAAATGCTAGCACATTCGATTCGAAATTACGAAATGACCACCGTCGTTTGTTTTACTTTTAATCGGTGGGGTCAATAAATTTTTACAAAATTTTCGCTTCGCTTATGCAACGTCTGTTTGCCAATTCAAATGAATTTTTTGAAAATTTTTACCACAGCTTTCGATGTGAACGTAAAATTTATATCTTTTGCTCTATTTTATATATGACAAAGAAAAATCGTTTTGAATACGATTAATTTTTTTTTTTATAAAAATTTTTTCTGAAGTTTTCTGAAATATCGCATACAGTTTACTCGATTCTGCCTTAAGACTTGTAACAGGAATTTGTTTTGGTCCAAGTGCTTATATGTACATACATTTGTACTACTACATTATTTATATATTGTATTTATGCCTGTAGATATGTATTTGTGTAAATAATAGCGAATGTTTTCTTCTAACATAGTTTTGTTTTAATTTTTTACCTAGGGAAAAGAACGGTACGGATGTTGCGAAAGTCAAAGAACTTTCAGGTCGTTACAGAATTATTGCGGCCGAAAGAAAGTTCATAATTGACCGAACAGATATTGCCGATGATGGTCTCTACAGTTGTGTAGCCGATAATCAGAAGAAAGATATTAATGTAGTTGGTAAGTATAATACTATATATAGGTATATATATATGTATATGAGCTGATTCTTTATTGATATGTTTTATTATTTCGTTGTGTAGCTCGCGTTGTTGTACGAGTGCCTTCGAATTCCGGTGTTGTAGAGGGTGAGAAATTGTCAATTGTCTGTACATGTGTTGGTACAGATCCACAATTGTCCTGGATGATTGGTATGTTGTAGCTGCATTAGTAAAATTTTTAAATATATATATATATATATATACATGTGCCATATTTGTTTGATTCGCAGGTAATTTGACAATCTCAAACAGCACAGGTCGTTATATGTTGAATCCCGATGATAATCAAGTGAAAAACGCAATTTTATCTGTTGAAAACATCAGCCTTGATGATAGAGGCGAATATAAATGCATTGGACGCAATGATGCCAATGAGTATGCCGGCTACGCTGAGGCTAGTGATGTATCATTTGTTCGTGTTAAGGGTGTGTACCAGCTGCTCATTTTACTTTAATGTTATTTATATATTTATATTGGCAATTTTACTCTCCTGTTTTGCTCCACAGGCAAACTCGCCGCCTTGTGGCCTTTCCTGGGTATCTGCGCTGAAGTTCTGATTCTCTGTGCGATCATTCTCATCTACGAAAAGCGACGCAACAAGAGTGAATTGGAAGAAAGCGATACAGATCCACAAGATCAGTAAGTTTTGTAGAAAGCACAGCAGCCACAGTTATACCAGCTACCATCAAAACCACCCACATACATACATACAAGTATAAACAGACATATAGTTGAGATAAGTGTTACAACAACATTAAGCAATTAACTCTACATGTACATATGTAGAACAACAGACAGTTAGTGGAGTAAAGATTTGTTTTTTTTTTAATTCACAATAGAACAAACAAGAAAACACACACAGTTTACGCTACCATTTATGAGTTGAAACACACACACACAAACAAACAAAAATTACAATAACAGTTCTTACGTTTGTCCAAACCGCAAACAAGAACCCCCCCACTACAGTTATACGCAGAATATACTTATGTACTTTATAATTGTAAAATATAGTAAACGGACACTCAGACGCAACAACAAACAAGACAACTAAACAAAACAATGGACATATGGAAAATGTCGTTTGTCACAAAAGCAAAATATATATATTTGGTACTATTTCGTGATTTCGTACGTTTTTTATGTTAATCGTTAAAATGTCGCTTGTCGTTTGTAAAATGACGAATAGCGCGTAATCAAGGCGTTAGTTTATAAGCCTAAAGTTAAAATTGCATAAAACGTTGATAACTTAACAAATGCGTTTACAGATTGCTCTATGCTACTCGTTTAGTTCTAAAAAGTGAAAAAAAGTAGGAAAAGTAGTTATGTATTTCTTTTGTGAGAAGCGAACATGTTTTCGTGTGTAAACTTAAATACAAGACGTTGAGGGCGTACCAAAACAAATTAAACGTTATATAATATGAAATTTAGCGAAAAGAAGAAGAAAAAAATTAGTTAACAAATTTAAAACTGATTTACTTAATTGTAAATTAATTGTATAATAAAATTATGTAATTTCCGCAATGCAAAAATTGCATGAATTTTTTTCTTTTTGATACGTACAAAAAGAAAGAGATAGTAAGAACATCTTAAGTTGTTTAAAATCTAAGTTAAAACGAACAACCAAACAAATACACTTAACAGAAGTAATAGATACAAGTACTATATACATACATATTAATAACACATTTTGCAGTTGAAAAGAGACTTAATACATTGACAATTGTTGTCAGTCTAAAATATTTTTGTTTATAAAAAAATTTTTTTTTCCTGAAATTTTTTTTAAAGAATTTTTTGTTTGCTTGTTAAAATACGAATCACAATATTTGTTAGCATAAATACATAGTAAAAAAAACGAAGAAAATATACACAAATATATTGCTGTAGTCGGTATATATTTCGTTAGAAGTTTGTTTTGTGCCTAATTTAATTTTGTGTAATAGTTTTGTAATAAATCATTGATTTTTATTTAATGCTGTTAAATTTCGGTAATGTAGTTGTGTTTTTCTGACTTTATAGCGTTTTTTTTTTGTAATATTTTAGAAAATTTATAATTTTCTATGCATACATACATATGACTTTTGATTGTTTTTGTAATGCAGTAGTGAATGTAAAATGAAAATAACGCAAAAATACAATAAATATAATGAAAGAGTGTTAATTATGTTTTAAGTACTTATTGCTTAATTTTTTTTAAAACACGTTTACACTTTTATGATTATTATTTTTCTAAATATATGTATACCAACGTAATGAAAATACATACAGTTACAGTGCAGTAGCAAACATATGCAGTCAAGGCAACGTTTAACCAACATAACTGGCATAACCGCCGCTTGAAATGTATTGATTGTTGTTGTGCATATGTTTCTATTGCACAGCTGATAGGTAGAAAAGTAACAAAGAAACACGAAAAATGTCGTTTGCGTATTTTCATTTTTGAGCAATGTGTTTCAAATTTTGTATTTTCAATTCTTAAATAAAATACCAATAAACATTCTAATTCAGTAATGGCGGCAGTATACTCAATTTTAATCTAATTATTATAATTATTATTATTATTAATATGTTTTTTATTATTTTGACTTGTGAGTTACCGTGCTTCGTCTTCGTATGCTTTCAGTCAAAGTGAAAAAATCGAAGAAGTTCTTGAAAATACAGAAAAGTTTGAAATTGATGATGAACCATTTAAAATAATCAGGCTTCATTCTGATTCATACTATAAGAATAAGGCGAATAATGATGAAAATTATTAAGATGTTGGAAGAGAATCGTAATCAAAATGAAGGAAATGATCATCATGATCATCATGTTAATGACGTTGATAATTATTTTAATGACGATGATAATCATAATAATGACAATGATAATCATCATATGGTTGATGATTATAATAATAATTATATAAAATAATAATTATGATAATCATAATGATGATAACAATCATAATAATTACAATGATAATCATGTTAACAATAACAATGATAATCATGATGATGAAAATGCTAATCGTGTAAACGCTCATGATGATGATCAAGTTGAAAATGAAAAAACAAACACAAAAGCAGATAATAACCAAAATCACAGCGGCGGTAATTTAACAAAAGCGTACGTTTCATTTCCACTTTTGTTTACGATGTATATATGTTTATAGTATGTACATTTGTATTAAATACTATTTTCGGCGCTCTAAATCTCTTAATTTCTTTTTAATATTATTATGCTATCTTTTTTACAAATAAATAAAATTTTACATATGTATGTATATCAACGGGCCTGTTATGTTAACATTATTTATTATTTTCACGAGCATTATACGATATTTTTTTCTTTAATTTAGAAAAGTTTAAAGTTTAAAATGAAACTGTCAATTTCATTTTGAAGAAATAAAAAAAAATAAATAAAACATAAAAAATCATATTTTGCGTTTTTATTTACATATGTTTGAATTTCAGTTGTATTAAACATATAGGTTTGTATTTACTTTATTGACTGGTTTTTGTTGTATATTATTTTCGTAAATTATTTGACTTAATTTTATATTATAATATTTAACTTTTGTTTTTTTTTTAACACAATTGTACCCTACAGCTGCACAAGTACATATGTGTACGTGTAACTTTTTACTCTTTGAAGGAAAAAAATGGCTGCGTTATTAAATAGCGCAAAAATAAATAAATATATATAATATATATAGCGCTAAATGACAAAGTTGCCATCTGCTGCATTTGCACGAAAAATTCGAAATTTTTTATGAGTATTTTTGTTTCAAAAATCATTTCACAAAAGCACCATTTTCCAACAATTTGAAAACATTTTTTTTTGAATTTTTTTCAAAATAACAAGCAAATTATTATTATAAACTACAAATTTTTCTTAAATATTCATTAAATTTTTTATAATAATTTTTTTATAATAATTTTTTTATAATTTTTTTAAAAATTTTTTTATAATTTTTTTAAAAGTTTTTGTTTATAATTTTATTTTATAATTTTTTTTATAATTTTTTTTATAATTTTTTTTTTATAATTTTTTTTTTATATTTTGTTTTTTATAATTTTTTTTTATAATTTTTTCTTTCAATCTTCTATCTAATACCGAAATTCTTGAATTTGTATTTCAAAAACATGCATGTAAACCAAAATTTATCATACACCACTTAAATCTAGTGTTATGTAAACAATTTGTGTGCATTGCCATTGATTAGCATAATTATTAAAATTACCCTTTTTTCTATTTATCTACAAAATTCTTCTCCCTAAATCCTGGCAAATAATTTATTTAAATAATAAACAAAAAACCAACCGTCCGTCACATCCAACCCAACAACAAATGTGCCGACGATTATTATTGCAAATAACCCCACCGTGGAATGTGTGTAGTTGATAAACGTGATGCAAGCGTCGAGTAAAAGCATAAAATTTAAACAGAATTGATTTAACGAAAAAAAAAAAAATAATAATAAAATACTATGATAAACTCCAAGCGTTAATCATCACCGACATCAACAGCATATAACCAAGTATCACCACCATGTACCACCATCGCCACAACCATCATAATCCATCAATGTTATCACTAACCCAACCAAACAACCAATTAACCGACCAACCAATAAACCAAGCAACCAATTAACCAACAACCAATTGACCAACGATTAACCCATAGCTGAATGTTTTACATACATACATACATGCATATGTATATTTCCTTAGTTTCACCAGTTTACGATGAACCTGGAGTATATAAGTTTGTTAAAATTAAGAAAAACTGTTGTTCAAGCATTTGTTTGTTGTATTGTTAAGAATGTAATGAAATATTATTATTTATTGATAAAACAGAATTTTTTATTATGAAGCTTAGTTGCACACAAGTGTATCGTACACTAGTAGTGTTGGAAAATACTAGATGAAGAAGCATTTTTCGTTTTCTAATTTAACCAAACAGTATTTATTGTTAAAAATTGGCGCAAGGCGGACATTTTATTTAAGTCTAGGTTTTGTTTTTTGTATTTTAGCAAAATAATTTATGTTCTGACAGTACATACATATACGTTTTTATACCCTGAACAGGGTATATTATGCTTGCCACGAAGTTAGTAACACCCAAAAGCAAATGTCAGAAACCCTATAAAGTATATGCATATATACCTATATGAGTCGACTTAACCATGTACATCTGTCTATCTGTCCGTCCGTCTGTATATATGCAAAATAGTCTCTCAGTTTTTGAGCTATCGATCTCAAATTTTGCACCAAGAAGCTGCTCATTTGTCGCAACGGCCGATAACGGAACATTATAACATATAGCTGCCGTACAAACTGAACAATCGGAATAAAGTGTTTGTATGGAAAACTTTTGCATTTAAGCAGATATTTTCACGAAATTTGGCCTGGATTATTGTTTAGCGCAATGATGCAATCTCCGAAAAAATTAATCAGATCCGATCACTATAGCATATAGCTGCCATACAAACTGCACGATCGGAATAAAGTGTTTGTAAGGAAAGCGTTGTCAATTGACGAAATATCTTCACGAAATTTAGCACGGGTTATTACCTTAAGCAATGATGCCATCTCCAAAGAAATTGTTCAGATCGGATCACTATAGCATATAGCTGTCATACAAACTGACCGATCAAAGTTCTTGTAAGGAAGCTTTTGTATTTGTAAAGGGTATCATGGCTTCGGTGCAAGCGAAGTTAACATTTTTTTTTTGTGTATTAATTATTGCATTCATTCATTTATCAGTTTTCGAGCTTTAAAAAGTAGTAATGTCCGCTGCTTGACAACACAATGCTGTAAAAATCCAAATAGATTGCCCTTTAGTTATCAATTAAGCATTAGTTTATTGTTTTCCCTTTTTTTTTTGAAGAATATTCCTCCGCCTTAAGCACCAGCGAAAACTTTTTCATGTGCAATTGTATGCAAACCCTTATCCTTTGGGCAAAACTCACAAGCAAATTTGAAAATATCAAAATTTATAATGAAACAGTCGTAAATTCATACACTTATGCTACACTGTGTTGTATGAGCATAACACAGAGATAAAATTATAATAATGTATAAATAGTTATAAAAACAAATTAATCGTACTTATAAGCTAATCTTAAAGATTTTTGCAAACTTTCTTCAGCCTATTATATACAAACTACCTTGAATACCTACTACTACATACTTACATAAAACATACTCACAAACCTACAAAATAAAAAAAAAATTAGCAAAGAAAAGTGAAAAGCAGTAAGAAGTAAGTTTGTTATTACACTAAAGATCACTTATTTATTATAATTACAGGAAGAAGAAAAGGAGAAATTATGATTAGATTTCCTAGAAATAAAACAGGCATACATAATGATTGTATGTATGACTCACACACAAACACTCACTGTTGCAATCGTCAAGCTTAAATTCCGAACAAATCCAAAACGCGTGTGTAACGAGTACGAGCATTAGAATATAGAAAACTACTACAACTACAAGAACAACAACAACAACAACAGCAACAAGAACAAGAACAAAAAAACATAAGAACAACACGAGCAAGAAGAAGAAGAACTTGAAATCAATTGTTTTATTGTATTGTAGTACCTAAATGTGTATTCGAAGCCGAAAGTGATAAAAACTCCCAAACAAAATATTTACCTAATTGCGAAAATTAGATAAAACAAAAAAAAAAAACAAAAAAAAAACAAATCGCAAACAAACACACACTCACCTAGATACATGTTTAATAAAAACGGCGGTACTGCTGAGCGCTAAAATATTAATTGCAAAGCATGAATAAGATAATTTGTTGCGCAGCCATAAACAAAAAAAATCGTATAAAACTGTACTGTAGAACTTAACGCAAAAACGCAAAAGACCTGACGAATTGATGCATTGCAGAAGGCGGACGTCGTTACTCGCGCAGAAAACTTTGCGCCACGAGTTGGGCGCAGAGTGGCGAAAATGTTTTCATAAATTATGAAAAATAAAATAAAGAATTAAATAAAAATTTAAAATGTAATGCAAAGAAACCATTAAAAAACTAAACAAAAATAAAATAAAATAAAGCAAGAGCAAGTAAATAATTATGAAGATTTTGTAATACAAATGTAAATGAAAAACTGAAAAAAAAAATTATTATTGACAACAACTTGGAGAGTTAATTCAATATTTACTAATTTTATGGTGCAAACTGTTGAATTGTATAATTTAAATAGTGAAAAAAAATTTAATATAAAATTGTAATTACAAATATATAATTTATTAATTGACTAATTAGTTAATTAGCATGTGGGCAAATTAAAAGCAGTAAGTGGTGGTAGTAGCGCGGCGAAAACCTTTAGTTAAAAGCAAAATATGTTGCAGGTTATGTACGAGCTTTTAACTTGCCCTCCCCCAATGTATATGTTTAAGAAAAACTGCCAAAACTTTAAAAGTTCCGGACAGTTTTGTCGGTTAACAAATAAATAACATGAAAACTAGGATACAAAATGTAAGTTAATAATGTAATAATAATAAAACTATTAATAATATTATGAATAACAATAACAATAGTATTGAAAATTTTAAATTGATAAATAAACGCACTTTAATTTAAAGCAGAGCTTATGTGAATAAATATGATAAATGATAAAGTTGAAATAATTTTAGTTTTTGTTATTAGTGGCCAAACAAATTTGAGTAAATAACAACAACACATTTGAAGATCCACTTTACGCGACGTAGTTTAACATGAACCTAATGCAGGTTTACATATTCGAAAACAGTTAAATGTTTTCCAAAAGCATTAAAAAGAAATAGAAAAACACTCAAGCCAACACGCGAGTCACATGTGCCCTTTCGCTATACCCAGTTATTTTCAAAACTACTAGTAGCTAATATTAGGGGCGGTTGTAGCCAAAAGACAAGAATGCAAGTTTACATATGCTAGGTTAGTTAGAAAATAGCATGCAAAACTTTTATTGAATGAGTTGCTAAACTGAAAAAAAAAATAATCAAAAATGTTAAAGACTCAAAAATTTAGTTACTCTGCCATCCTGTTAAAAAAAAAAAACAAAATAGATTACACAAATAACAAACATAATATTATGTAAAGAGTTAATGGTCAATGCATTTTATAAGCTCGAAAAAAAATTTTTTTTTTGTAAAAGTTAAAAAAAAAATTTCAAAAATTAATTTAGAGAAAAATAATTTAGGCAAAAAATTTAATTTAATTAAATATTTCCGAATTGAATTACTAATCCACCCTGTATGCGGTTCCAAAAACGAAATAGTTTGTATAAATTTTTAAATAATTTTTTAGAAATGGGTTATGCATTTTATTGAAATCAGTGCCGTAAATGAAAAAAAAGCAAATTTTAAAAAAAATCTTTTCAAAATTGTATCTTTATAAATATAAAAGTTTTATCGTTTTTTTTCTTAA